CAGCACTTTGATTGCCAAAAAATAAAAGGGTTTAATTTTCATTTGATTAGGATAAATTAAATTAATGTTTTATGCCTTCATCTGATTACCAGAAAAATTAAGAATATTTTATAGGGCCCTATTATTGTTTAAAAAAAACCATACAAAATAAAGTATAGGTTTAAAATACAGGCATGTGGCTTAATTTCTTTTTATTAATTCACCATTTGTAAACTGATGTTTACTGTTAATTTTTTAGAAATATCAATAGCATTTGTATTAAAACTATATTCACTGAATGTAATAAAAAAATCGAGAATCGAATCGGGACATCTGAATCGATACCCAGCCCTGGTATTCATTGATATCAATTCAGCTGCACTGTCACATAAGAATGAAATTTGAATAGAATAACACTAACTTGGCAACATCAGCACTGATATTGAACTGAACTGAATCAGTAATGAATTGAATAATGACACGATTGTCTTCTGTAAAGCTGCTTTACGGCTGAAATTGAATGTTTCATAATTGATGAATTTTGCAATATTTCCTGTTTATTATTGTGAAGCTGCTTTGAATCCATATTTAAAGCACTACAGAAATAATTGCGCAAATAATTGACTTAATTTTGCGGCCCTTCTCTCAGCTATCAATACGAATGAAGTGCAATCAACACAATTCACTACATTTCAATCTGTTCTGTGTATTTACTCCCCAAGAACATTAGGAAAAGTCTGCATATTCTCTCTGGGATTATCTGGAGAATGAATTACTTTTGGCAAAAGCGTTTCCGTCAGATGTTTGCTGGCATTGCAGTGTTATTACCTGTTGAACCGCACATCTCTGCTGCATCGCTACGAACTTTGGCATTTATCATTTAATACACATTCGCTTGGAGTCGAGCGTCAGATAAAGATGTTAATCTGGACTTGTTGAAGACTGGCAGATAATCATGCCTTGATAGATGAATTACCCGTCCACGGTTTCATCTGATTGATGAAACACGCCTCACAGGCTTCATATTTTAATAATCAGCCCAGATCTCGAGGTGTGTTTCTAAAGTTGCGCTTTAATTCAAACACATTAAGATGCATCTGTTCTGCGGACTGTGATGCGCTTGGAAGGGGCGTTTGCGGGCGCGTTTGGCGCAGTCCTCCCGCATATGAGATGGCGGGTGTTCGCTCATATTTAGCTGCTGTAATATTGATAAGGAGCCGTTTGTGAACCTGAACCTGTTTGTCCCGGATCCGCCTCCGGCCTCCGTGTCGGAGCGATTGTGCTTGTGTTACGGCGTGCATGTGTGTGGTTTCGGTCCATCTTGTGTTGGGTTTGCAGCAGCGCTGTGTTTATTTTTCTTGGGAGATTTGAAGAGCTATTTATAGCCTCCTGCTGGAGCAGCGAGCATGTGCTGCGCCTCCTCCCTCCCGCTTGCTCATCTCATGATGCTGTTAGATTCTCCTTCCTCATCTCACACCTTTCTTCCTCTAATTCCCACTCATCTGTTGTTCTGTCGTTCCTGTCCCCATTTTGAGATTCCCCCTCTGTGCTTTCGGCACGACCACCTCCCCTCCGCTTCCCTGTGGATTTCTGCTTGTGAATTATTAATGGCTGCTGGATGGCAGTGACTGGGGGCGACGCTGAGGATCGCCGCTCTTACGGAGGATAACCGTCAGTTATCTGCCTGAAGACGGGACAGAGACATGCTGATATGATAGACAGACAGGGACTCCACCGGGTTTCATTGGCTCTCTGTGTGCAAAACTACATGCTTTCAAAAATGAGTCATGCACCGAAAATTAAGTTTTCATTTAGTCGCAAACCAAAAAAGAAAGTTTGGGTACCATGTTTTCCAGAATATAAATATATATATATTTTTTTTTTTTAACAGGCCGCATATACGTTATGCAATTAACTTCAAGCACGCAAAACACACACCCTGTTTAGAGTATGTGTAGAATGTTGGAGTGCTTTTTACAAGAAAATACTATTTCAGTCTTTCTGCTTCAAAATGTCATGTTTCATTTAATGCATTACCTGCCGAATCTTTGTAATTATTTGCGAGCTGATTGTTTGGAATTATGAATATGAGCGTAGGTCGTCTGTTAATATTATGCATTTTTTTGTTTGATGTTTTTTAGTTTGTTTCTGCATGAGACAAAAAAGTAGTATAGCCAAAACCACTGCATAGCCGCTCTTTAGTGTAGATGCATGTTGATTTTATCAGACAATGGCGTGATTACAAATGAGAGTGACTCCTGGTTAACATGTATTAATGGGTCGTGTTTAGTCACTATTTAGTGTGGAATTTTGCTACAATATTCACCCATCATGACAGTAAAATAGGGCATTCTAAGTCAATATACTGCAGTATTTCCTCTCAATCAGTAGAAGATATGGTTAACACCCGCTCATGCATGAAAAAAAAAATACACCGTCATATACCGTGAAACGTTAAAAAAAGTTTAGAAAATTACCGTGATATACATTTTTGTCATACCGCCCAGCACTAACCAGTATGTTACTTTATTTCTGAATGTGACAAATAAAATGTGACTTGTTAAATGATGCAATGATGCAACTTTGTCCTCTCAACAATGCAAATTTTACCCAGTGCAACTTATTTTCAAGAAAATGCGGTAATTAAGTTGGTTTGTGGCGTGTTCACTGGTCATATATTAAAGCAATCATGGTGAAGTTCTTCAGCAACAAATCTGAATATTTCAGAGATTTCTGTTTACTTGTTATCTACATCGTGTGCACAAAATAGATGCTGACACAGTCAAAATGCATCACTGGAGAATCGTTAATTAAACATCACTGCTTCAATCCCCTATTTTAGTCCTTCAAAACCAATTTGGCTAAAACTGAAAATTCATTTTTTTTAGTCCAAAATTTTAAGCAATAGTCAATCCTCACGTTATTCTGAACCCGTTATTTTATTTAGTGGAGCTCAAAAGTTGAAGTTTAGAAGATGATCATGCTGCTCTCGTCCATCCAGCAACTGTATATAGTCTGCCAGTCTCCAAAACAAGGCAAAGAAACACGGGAAAACACCATACAGTCGGAAATAAGGATTATTGGAATGTGTTTTGCAAGAAAATACTATTTAAGTCTTTCCACTTGAAATGTCATGCTTGGTTCAGTGTTACTTGCCATTTCATTTTAAATTATTTGTGAAATTTACTAGCAGTTTATTATTTAAAAAAAAAAAAGACTTGTGTGTATTCTGACAAGGTTTGACAGATGTGGTCGTGGTAAACTTTTGTACAGAACGCTTGGTTGACGTGAGGATGAGTAAATGATGACGAGAGAGAGAGAGAGAGAGAGAGAGCGGCTGTGCTTCATTCAGAAAAAGCAGGGGGGCGTCAGAAACGAAGCGAGGGAGCAAACTAAGCAGAGAGGTGGAGATCTGTCTGTTATCTGTTAGTGTGGACTGAAATGCGCTCGGCGCTGCCTCTGAGCCGCAAGCAGCTAATGATGCGTGGAGATCAGCGATAAACCAGCGGATACAGTAAGCCTTGTGTGTGCTGCATGAGCGTGCGTGTGCATGCATGTGGAAACTGTTCTGAGTCTGTTGCATCTTGCATTTATCGTGTTCTCGCAGCGATCTTAAAATCACACTCTGAAACCATTGTACTTATGACTAAACCCTCAGGTGCATTATGGGATGTGTAGTCAGAAGCTGTGACTCTGAACGAGACTGGAGAAAATGGGTCGGAGAGTTTAGAAGAGATGCGCTGAAGTTTGTGTAAGGCCGTTTAAAAATGCATTAGTATGCGTTTGTGTGTCTGCATTCAGAAGTGACACAGCCGCAGCTCTGACGTCAGATGGAGCCGCTGGAGGTGAATGAGCAGAACTGGTTTGTGAATGTTATGCAATCGATTTGCTTGAGTGATACCAGGATGCATTTCATGCAATACTTCACATGCATGTTGTGCATCGTGTTAGGTGTTTGAGCGACAGGCTTTGCACGGGTCAGTCGCTCGTGGGTGTGTGTGTGTGCATGCTATCGCCAGCCCACTCGCGTGCAGGTCGATAAAGAGAGAGACCATGTTTGCTGAGGTAATGAGGAATTCCCTTCCACCGCGTCCTCGTCCCTCGCGCCGGGGGCGGATCGGTAGAGGAGAGAGGCATCATTCATGTCAGAGCGGAGGAGACCAGAACACGCAGGACATCAGGAGGAGGCATAGCATGGGGGCTTTCTTCAGAAAGGAGTTATTTAGTATCTAGATGCTTTAGCTATTGCACTGTATGTAGCTTGAGTTTCATGCATTTGCTCTGAAAGGTGACGAGAAGAAGAATTATTTTGGCACGATTAAGCAAATTGAAACCAAAATTGCAATATGGCTTAGTGCGACTATCAAACCACAAAGGCTGTGGTTGAATTAAATAAATAGTATTGTTTCATAGTGAAGCGCGGCGTTGTGTTTATTTACACGTGTGCAGCTCATGATCCAGTGTCTTGGAGATGGGGGAGGGCAATATTGACAAAAAATGATACCTTAATATATTTTGGGATTTTTTTCGATAACTAATTAAATGACATTTTACTGAGTGTGTTTTTGTGATGGAACTTAGGCTGATTTAGGGCGGTCATTGATGAATAAATATGACACTAAAACTGCCAGTAGGTGGCAGCAAGTCCCTGTCTTAATGAGCGATTTATTGAATCATTCATTTAAACGATTCATTCAAAGTGGCTGATTCATTTAGAAACAAAGCAAGTGACTGTCTTTATGAATGGAACATTGAATTATAGACTCAAATGATTAGTTCAAAAGCAGATTTGTTCAGGAATGAAACACAGAGTTTTGCTCTGAGACGTACAAATACTGTGCTCCGTTTTCTGGAGCTATTTTTGTTGGTAAAACAGACAATATTGTGTCTTGTTTGTTGTACTGTATAAAACGGGTATCACCGAAAAGAGCTTGTTTCTGGGTTGAGAAATAAGGTTGATATAGGAGATATGAATATGTTTGGCTTTAGTTCAGCGCAGACTGACATGCGTCATTGACGTCAAGCGAGCGTTTCACAGGAAGAGCAAGCTGAGACATTCTGATTAAAGATTACAAAGTCAACTTTTTTGTAAAAAAAAAAAATGCACAGATGAAATGACCACAATAACTCCGGCTGCAGCACATTAGAAGTCACACATTTCTATATGTTAAATTAATTCTATATTAGGGTTACACAATTTGGCCAAAAAATTATATTTATGAAAAAGTTGAAAAGTATAATGCCAATAATAATACTATACATATATTATTATATAATTATTAATATTATAAAAAAAATTTATTTTACTAAATATAAAAAAATATTAAATGTAGTAGTAATAATAATATAATGTTACATAATATAATTTTAGTTAGATAAATATTTATTTGTATACAATATGAAACCAACTTAGCAGTATTGATAAAAATAATAACAAAAATATTAATAATTGTTATATTAATAATCATACTACTACTACTCCTAATAATAATCATCATTTATAATAAATAATAGTTATTTTTACTAAAATGTTAAACCAAATAAGAGATATTAATTAAAAAAGAAATAAAATAATTATTATGGTATTATTGAATTGCAGCATCAAAAACGTTGCACGCTTGTTTTGGCGATTTAACAGCTACCTACAGAAATCTTTCCGATGTTTACGATGTTGCTTAATTGTAAATCGTCAGTGTGTCGGTGTGCGTTTATAGTGAATGTTGTTTGTCGCTGGGCCCTCCCCCACACAGAGCGATGCGTGTGCGTGTGCATCTCCACCTGAGCCTCACGCAAACACACGGGTTATTTTTGGACGCCGTGTGCTAGAACAGAGTGTCAGCGAGAGAGAAACAAAGAGCGAGTGAATCCTCAGCAGAGATGTGAATAAAGCCAGAGAAACGGAGACGGCACAATGCTGCTCTCCTGAATAAAGTATCTGCGTCTATAAATAACACACTCTTATTTCGCCACATTTTCCCTCCTCATCCTGTAACGCTCATTTGATCGCTTTTCATTTTTCAGCATGTACTGAAGCAGTTATTTAGAAACGAACCACACGTTTGATGGCTTGGCTGTGTTAATTGATACTTAAACACCTGTTTGGAGACGTTTTTCCGTTTTCGGAGAGTCACACGGCTTCGGATTACATGCATTACATGAATATATATTACGTAATACATGAATATGTGCAGGTTTGTTTAGTGGTTTAGCATTAAATCAGGCTGTGTGATCAAAATTAAACCATGATTATCAATTCACAAAGGCTAAGATTTAATTAAATATATGCAGAGCATGTTTCATAGGGCACTGTGTTAATTTACACGCATGCAGCTCATGATTTAGTGTTTTCAGTGGCTATTAGCGACTGCTTTGTAATGATTATTTATTAAATAATATAAAGTAATTTTGTTAGACTTTTTAATTTAACTCAATAATTTTAATGATACTGAATTAAAAAAACACAAGCTAATAAAACCACACTTTTACTGAAAGTAACACTATAAAATTGGACAGAATTTATATTAATATTAAATATCAATATATTATTGTTATTCAGTTCCATGCAACAGAATCCGATATAACTGTTTTTATAAACTAATTATACAAATAATGTATAATCCTACAAAGCTATTATTATCAGAGCATGTGAGCAGAGCAGTTAATTTTTCAGCTGTACTGTAAAAAACATTGTAATATTTTTCCTAAATGCTTATTTTACAGTGAAATATCACAATAATATATATTTTTTAAATAAAAAAATTATTATAATATTTTTCTTAAATACTTTTTTATTTTACAGTAAAATCACAATAGTATTATCGTTTAATATTTTTATTATTGTTTTTGTAATTTTAACTGTAAAATAAACGTATTGTATTGTTTTCCCTAAATATTCTTATTTTAAATTAAAATATCATGATAGTATTATTTTGTTTAATAATTTTTTTTAAATAATTTCAGTTGTATAGTAAAATTAAAAGTTCCACAAATCTGGAACTTTTGTAAAATTGCATTTTAAATCACAATTTCAGAAAAATTGCCATTCATTTTTTATTTATTTGCATTTTTTAATACATTCCCCCCCCAAATTGTGCTTCTCTAGCACTAAGTATTATCATAACTCTTTTGAAGAGATTTTTAACAGAGTTAAGCTTAATACAGTTTTAGAGTTTGTAGTATAAATAAATGGTAAAAACATGATATAATTCAACCACAAATTGTCTTGCAATGAGATATGGCATTAAACACAAACAAACTAAGTGTTTATTATTACATTATTTGCATAGATTTATAGAGTAGTTGGTAATTTGCCTGAGCAGCTAGTCAGTTTTGTGGTCTGTAATAAATTGCACACTTATCTCAAAATAGACCTGTCTAGTTAAGCTGACTCAAGTTCACCTGACAACTAGTCAATTTAGCCAACCATCATGACTGATTTCATATTTCGCCATGTTTGCACTTCTCTAAACTCATTTAAATCCAAATCCTGCAGAATCTCCTCCATGATCCGTGCAGTAAATGCGTCAAGCCCGTGTGTCTCTGTCTCTGTCCTCATGAATATGAACGTAACAGCTGACGGATCATGAAGAACTCGACATATTGCTCATGACTCACGCAGCTTCTGACAACGACACGCAAGATGCCCGAGCGCCGAGTCAACGTGTTCGCCGAAAATAAATATTTAGCCTTTTGTTATCGAGCTGTGACAGAAATTAGCGCGTTCTCAATTAGTTCAATAGTCTGAACATCGTGCCAGTCTGGAGTCACATTTGCACAATCCAGTCCATTTATAGCATTCGTTATGATACATAACCGATCTGCTGAACGAGTGATTCACTGGAAAAGATCAGATCTTGAATTCTATTAAACAGCTATACATCTTCAAACAAGTGAGTTAGTGCTGTAAAGTTCTGCAGGAGACTCCGATGTGATACTGGGTTGATCTTGTAGATGAGAAGCGTTTAGTAAACTCGTATTGTAGGATCTGCATGTGTGTTAGAGGTGGAGCGGCTCTCTTTCAGGTCCTCTGTGGGTGTGTGTTGTGCTGTTGATCTGGCTGGTTCTGCATCGTTGCTGGTGTGTAGCAGGTGTGGTTGAGGTTCTTCAGGTTTAGTCATGCCATCTTCACGCTTACTGTGAACCCGCCGTCGTTCACCGGCCATCTGCTTATGTGACGCCTCTAAACCGTCACATCTGCGGCAGAGCGACAGATAGTTCTGTGTGTTAAATTAAATCTATATTAGGGCTGCACAATTTTGCAAAAATTGAGTTGATGTTTCTGATAAAAATTGTGTTTATGTTGCTGTGCATGTTTGTAGGGTTACACAATTTGGCTAAATATTAGATTTTTGTCAATCAGTTTTAATAATAACAACAACAATAAACTAAAATCTAATAATAATAATAATAATATAAAAATTTATTATTAATATTATAAAAATAATTTGTATTTTTTTTATAAATATGAAACTAAATATAACTTAAAACATTAATATAATGATAATAATAATATGA